GGAAAGAGTAACTAGATTGTGGTAGCAAGTTTTGGAAGAAATAATATATATATTTTTTCTTTTTGATTTGTTCAGAGCTTCTTGAGAAATGTTTCCAAGGAAAAGTTTTCACAGTGGAATTTTTCCAAAAATCTTCCCAAAATTGTGTTTTGCAAGCATCATTTTGTGTTGGCAGGAAGAAACCTTTCTGATGAGGAGCTCTAATACCTTTTATTTTTCCATTAGGCATAAAGTGGGGAGGGATGGAGTAAAAGAAAGGAGCAGTGCTTTTTTTTTTCTCATGAAAATATGTGCACATGAAATGTTCCTTTAGAAACTGCTCATCAAAAATAAACAACAATAGTATTGCCTGAACAAAACGAACATATTTAATAGAGATCTTCAGTTTGGTCCTGAAGGCATTATTTTCTGTTGAAAAGAAAAGCTTTGTTAGAAAACTTTCAACCCAGTTCACGCACAGTCTGGTTCACTTGATGATGTTCAAAAAAGTGCATAAGTTTTCCCCCCCCAACCCCCCCTAATGGTTTTATTAAGAACAAATACCTTGCTTTACAATGCTGTGCCCTCGCTTTGCTTAACAGCTCGAGCCTATGAGTTGTTTGCCTGTGTGATGTACCTCCTCCATGTGTTCCTGGACAGAGCCCTACATTGCACCTACAACCGCCCCTCCACATCTTTGTGAGAAAAAAAAGCCAAATCCCAACAGCCTGTGGTTTCCATCCTGTCTATTAGAAAAGATGAGTTGGCATTTTTACCTTGGTGTTGAAGTGGTATTGTAGACCTGATGCTCCAGGAAATGAGAGGCAAGAATCCTTGTGGGAGATCCCTTTTATTGGCCAGCTGCGTGGTTGGGATAGACGTAGGTAAGCTTTCGGGTGTCACAGTACCCTTCCTCAGGCCTCCATTTGCTCAGTAGCAGATGCAACAAAAGCTTGTGCAAAACTCTGTCTGTGAATAAAAACAAGATAGGAAAGAAACGATCAGGTAGCCAACATGCAGGAGAGATGCACTGAAAACCTGATGAGGGAGAAACAGGATTGTTTGGGAGGGTCATTATCTTATTACCTTGCAGTAAACGCCAGCATGATGCTTCCCCCATGGGACGTGCTGTGTGCTTAAAGGCCTGGTAAGCTTCAGGCTGCAAAGCTCCCCAGGGACTAGGGAATGTGCTCAATGTCACTCAGGAAGGCAGCCCCAGGGATGGTTGGGATGTTTCAGTGGAACAGGGAAGGGACTGAGGAGGTGTGGGTTGAACTTGCCCTGGCACTGCCTTCCTGAGTGACATTGAGCACATTCCCTAGTCCCTGTAAGACATGGAGACTAGTCTTTCAGAAGTATGCAGGCGTGGTGCATTAGGGATCATGAGGCCCTTGGCTCTCCTGCTGATGGAAAGTGTAAAAGTATAGTCAGGGATCAGGATTATTTCCTGGAAGCAGAGTTACGAGGTGGTGGTTTGTTAACGCAAGACAGGCAGCAAGCTAAAGTGCAGGCAGGGCCCAGTCAGGGCGGGTAAGTGCTCCAGGCATGGGGAATGGAAGAGGAGGTAGTGAGGGAGGGGTGCAGGGAAGAGGGGATGAAAAGTAGCTTTTTTCTCCTTCCAAACCTTTTACCTGCAGCTAATTCTCTTCTTGCGACCAAAGGGTAAGGGAGGAGGGAAGAGAATCTGCCCCCCTGCTACCCCCCAGCGTTGGATGTTTTGAGCACAAGTGCTTATGCCTGACCCAGGCTCTCTGCACTGCGGGAGCAGGGGCACTAAATTACCTGTGCACTTGGGCAGCGCCAACCCCTCATTTCCAGCTTCTGTTGCACGCCTTGACATCGCTCCATTGCCCTGCATGTGTAATTTTGCGTGTCATTGCCCTTAATTGTATGCTTACAGTGCCCTCTTTTAAAATTCAGCCCTTCTATCAGCAGTAGGTAGTAGCAGGTTTAATAGGGTGTTTGAATTCCTATAAAAATTAATCAGGAGCTGTCTGCGATAAGAGTCAGGCAGGGAGCCATGTGGTTCATATCTACTGTTGATAAACTCATTATAGAGGCAGGAAACATTTTTGATTGGAGCAGTGACAAAATAATTTGGAGGGGAGCCATGAAGAGAGTGGTTGGTGAGGCTTCGAGCACAGTGGAGATTGAAATGCCAGTGTGTGGAGCCGCGCTGCCAACTAACATTGACTTAGCGTCTCTGGAGAGCTGTAACGGCAAATGCATTTTATTAATGGCAATATTCTTTCAGGAAACGCTGAAGCATTGTTGTTAGAGGTGGAACCATCTTTCCAAGTGGGATTGCTCGTGTCGGTTTGGAAGTCTTCCAAACCAAGACCTGTTCCGCTTAACTTCCTCACCGCTGGTAGCTGGTCGAGTACGATCTCGTAGGAGGCCTAAATTGCAAGCCAGAGGCTTGGGGAGGGACGCTGCAGTTTTCTCTGTGCCCACTGCTCTATAGCTGTACCGGCGTTTCTTTGTCCTGAGAGGGAAGATTGTTTGCATTGACTGGTGTAGGGCCAGAGCACCCCAGGGAAGCAGAGCAGGCATTTTCTGTTGCTCGTGCTTTGATTACAGTTCATTCACCCTGCAGCGTTCCCACACGTGAGGCCCACGTTAGCTGCTATCGACTGCCTGCTTTAACAAATACTCCCTGTTTTGAAGTTTTTCCTCTCTGCTTGGTCCTTGCTGGAGTTTCTCAGATTCGTGGCTTTGCTCATGACCTTCTTACAGCTGCATGTCCTGTGGGTGTGGGCCAAACCCCTGTAAATTCTTGGTTTCCTGAGAAAATGGCTTCTCTCCCTGTATGCAGCCACGGCAGCTGGAGTCGCCCACCCTCCAGCCTGGCTGGACAGGCAGAACAGAGGGCTCGGGGGACTAAAATTTCTCTCCTGCATGGGAACAGTCCATAATGGAGGCAAATCAGTAGAGTTTTATAAAAATTACTTTGCAAAATAAAAGGAGCTAAGTGATGTTATAATTCCTCTAAGGCTGTTAGCTATCATATACAATACTGTTGCAGAGATACCGTTCCCTATTAAGTCTTATCAGAGAATTAGTCCAAGAAAAGGACTTATTTCCTCTAAGGTCGTAGGATGTCCTAGGAAGACTGACATTGCATTTTGTAGGAAGCAGAATCTGATACATGGAGGCGAGTTTAGCTCTGGGTGTATGCTTCCCTTGGTGGGTCTGAGGCTGCCCATGCTCAGGGCATATTTGCCAGGTTTTCTATAGGTCCGGATGTAATCCAGATGCATGGGTTGATTTGCATGATTGAAGCTAGTGTGCATATGGCTGTAAATAACTGTTTATGTTCAACACAACGGGTGAAGGATTGGAAATGGAGCTGTAGGGATTTTGGCCCGTGTGGCTTAGGGGTGGGATTGGGTATTTGACAGTGCTGGAGAGTTAATGGTAGGTGGTAGGGTGAATGGTACTGTAAATACTGTGTCATGGGGTACCCAAGAGACAGTGAGGTGAACCTGGGGCTAGTGTGGGATCCTCATTTTTTTTGTGTGTGCCTGATGTTGCTCTTACTGCAGCTGTTGCCTTCCCCTGGATCAGGGGTTCTCAGTGTCCAGCTCAAAGACCAAATGTGGCCCATGGAGTCATTTGCATCTGGCTTGTGGGGCAGGAAATTTGGTGGTGGGGGAGTGATGTCCATTAATACGGTCACCCTCCTCCTGCCAGTTCCCAAACTCACAAGTGCTGCACTGCTGGTTGCAGCCAAGCCATGCCCCCTCCCTTCCATATGGATTGAGGTCAGGCCATGCCTGCTTTCCCACCCGCTTTGGGCTGGGTTGAGGCCAGGCCATGCCCCTTTTCCCCTGCAGATCCAGGTTCCCTCTGCATAGTCAGATGGTGCCCACCATGCTGGCCTTGATGCTGGATTGGGACTACTGGTGGGATCCAGTCTGTGGGCAGATGGGGCACCACTCATGTGGCCCCCGTGGAAAAGGCTGAGCACCCCTTGTCCTAGATGGTCTTTACCTGCTTGGATCCAGCAAAGGAGATATACAGGTGCCATGAGAGCTGCTGGCAGGTGGGAAAAGGCATTGCAGGTTGTGGGCGACATCTTATCTGGGTTGGAGTGGGCTGTGACGCAGGTTGTAGCATGGGATTTTGTGTGACCTGAATGTTGCCTGTTCTGACCCCCAGGCTAGCCACAAGGTATGGTTTATTTGCAAAGCAGGAAGACAATAAGTGTCTTTTTCCTTGCAGGGAAGTTGTTGGAGGGAGATTCTGTGGAGCTGAGCTGCAGCGCTGGCCCTGCCAAGGTGATCCTAGAGCCCAGACAAGCCGTGGTGCTGGACTGTAACCTGGCCCCCGCTGAGCAGTTTATCAACATCACTTGGAAGAAGAATGGCTTTCCATTAGTGGAGCAGGAGCATCTCCATGTGCTTCCAAATGGATCACTCTTCATCTCATCCCAGGCTGCTGCTAAGGAGAGTAAATATCCTGAAAGGACTGGTGCTGAGGGTAATTACTCCTGCGTGTCCCAGGGCTCTTTAGGGGCTGTCATTAGTCAAACGGCTGTCGTACGATTTCCAAGTAAGTGGGGTTTTTTGTTTTGTTTGTGGTATTGATACAGAATATCAGTGTGCGAGAAAACGCATCAGTATCTTCCTGGCTCGGAAGCTTGAAACAAATCGCCTCTGAAAATGGATTTCCTTTCAGGGCGTGCGTGATTATCTGTGAAATGAGACGCAACATCTCTTTCCCCAGTTAACTGTTCATTTCTGAGGGAACTTGTCCAGAGAAGTAGGAATCACTTGGAGCCCGAGCCCTGCTATTCACAGAGAGCCAGCACTTCCCTCCGTGACTCGATCTCACCAAGTCGTTTGTCTCAGGCCGTGCTTTCAGCAGGCAGCCGGCCTTCTGTTCCCGTCCTCGCTGGGAAAGGTTTAATAAGAACTGTGTGGGCAGCTCCTTACTGTGTGAGATCTGGCACTGGTCCAGCAGAGCTGCACCTGTTCACACCAGCTGAGCCTCCAGGCCTCTGCCTTCTGGCATTTCCTCCATGACACAAAGCTGTCTCATCCTTTGCTAACTTCATGCCTTTCTTCTTTGGTTGCCTCTCTCAGTGGTGCGTGGCTATTCCCCAGCATTTCCCTATTCTATACCTGTCCACTGGACCACTGTCCTCAGGGAGGATGCTTCAACCCACATCATTACTGAGAGTAGCAGGAAGGATCTCTGCTATTGCTCAGGTGGTGGTGGTGCTTTCTGTGATGTGGGATGCCTGGAATTGCACTGGCACTGCTCTGTGTCTTATTGTGGTCATTCACCAGGCTGAGATTCCAGCTGCTAAGCTAAGAGGTGAGGGGCTCTGCTCCCAGTACCCTGAAGTTGTCTGGTTTTGCAATGTAGCAGTATTTTTTTAGGACATGGAAAGCAGAGGCAACTCCTTGACGTTCCAGGTTGCTGGCACGTGAAAAGCAATAGGGGAAAAGGAGCATTGTAAAATGCACCGGGCCCCAATAGATGACACTGGGTTTCCATTAAATAAGGGCCTCAGCTAGCCGAGTGGTGTCTTGGGTCTGTCTAATATGGGGATGTGGAATGACAAGGCCCTGGTAATAAGTGATAGGCATTTTGTTGGCTGTTATCAGGGACTGACCTGATGCTAAAGGCATGTGTTGCTAGAGCTGGAGGTGGAAGCTGTCCCACTCAGCTCCTCTGGATTGAGCAGAGAGGGTTATGTGCGTCTGTCTGAGCTGAGAGGGCGGCAGGGGTGAGTTACCCACAGCAGCCAGTGATTGCAGAAGTCTTTTGGGGGGGCACCATGGAGAGGGAGAAGGATCTGAATCTCACAAAAGGCCAGTAAAAAATGTTCATGGCACAAGCGCCAACCAAAAACTTGCTGAGAACCAAATATTCTCTGCTTCCCACCATTTGTAATGGCACGGGGCCAGATGGCATCCTCAGGTCACATGCGGACAAGGGATGGTTGCACCAGCTCCCTCAGTCACATGGCAGAACAGGTCAGTGAGCCCAAGGCTGGTCAACGTGTGGAGAACTGGAGCCAGCAGTGCAGGAGCGGGTCAGGGCAAGGACCCATCGCCCTCATGTTCACCTTGCAAGTGAGGGGAGGGAGATGTCATGCAGCTAGACGATGCACAGAGGAGGAAATCCCATTAAAATAAGGGGTTCCCTTGGGTTGGAGAATGGTCACCAGGAAAACCGGCTTAGGAGACAGGCTTTGCAACACT